GAATCCCGACAGGTCTCTGGGAGGCTCACCGGGAGCAGGAGAGGGGATAGACCCGAAAGGGGAAACCACAGAGAGGAGCTACGGGGAGGCTCGGGTCCCGCCGGGGCTGGGGTCCCCTCCCGCCCCCCGCACTTACCGAGGGCGAGGAGCGCGGGCCATGGCCGGCCGGGGCCGTGCAGCCCCGCAGGTCGCGCCAGCCGGCAGGTGGCGGGAGCGGCACCGCCCCTTCAGCCCCCGCCGGGCCCAGCGCCCCGCCGCGCCGCCACACCCGCGCCGCCACACTCCCACCGCCACCACCGCGCCTCACACTCCGGCCGCCCCGCCACACCGCCACACTGCCACACCGCGCCTCGCCACTCCGCCCGCCGCCGCAGGGCCCGGTGCGTCCCGCTCGGATGGGGCATTTTGGTATTTTCCACGGGATCTGGCACTCCGTCCGCGTTCAGTTCTCACTTGATTTCGAGAGAAACTAACAGAGCAAGTCTTTGACTGCTGCCTGTAAGCTCTTTAGAAAATGCCTGTTGCTGTGTCCGATCATCTGCTGCAAGCACTTTTCAACACGTTTTAGAAGTGAATTTGTTTGTTTTCATCTCAGGTGTGGAATAGGACCGTGATCTGTTAAGGAGAAAGAAGACCTGTGGAACATGTTAAGACTCAAACCAGGGGAACAACTAACCAGTTGTTAGTCTAGATCCAGACTGGATTGTGAGTCTGGATCTAGACTGGATTGTGAGTCTAACTTCAGGAGTTTCACTTAGATACATCAAAAACAGTTTGCCATACAAAAGTCAGTAGCTGACTTGGTACTTAATAAAAAATAAATCAACCATAATGCATGCACTCATACACCTGCTGGCTTCAGTGTGTGCTCTTTGCTTTTGCACTGAAAGGAGGGGGAAACAACAGATCTCTATTGATTTCTCCATGCTACTCATGAATCTTATTTTCACTACAGAATACTTTTAACTGGATTTGGTCCTTGAATGCTTAAAACAAAAAACCATAATGGAACTTTCAGGTTATCTGTCAAAGAGATGTAGTGGTTGAAATCCTGTGCCTATTGACAAACCCAAGTCCAGATTTTGTTTAGTTTTTGTTTAGCTCAGGAAAATTCAATCTTGCATTTTATTTCTAACACGATTTTTAGCTTATTTATTTTATTGCATTATTTATTTAAACTCCTAGTGACAAAATTGCTAAATATTTGTTTGTTTTTAAATCGTATTCAATAAATATTACTTCACCCAGTACATCCAACAGCCACAGAAAAACCTGTAGAAAGAACGGTCTGAGAGATGAATATAATTTTAGCTGCAAGACAAATTTTCAATTTGAGAGCTACCTTGGTTCTTGGCCTTCAACCATAATAACATGCAGCAGTATGTTATCATACAGTGAGGGCTGAGTTAAGCTAATATTTAGTGTACTTTCCATGCTATAAAGCACTCACCAGGTTAATAACATGGATTTTTAATATCAACAATTTTGATAATATCAGGGAACAAGATGGTACCCTCTATGCAGTCTAGAAGAAAAGGGGGAAAAAAACCTTTTTGGCGGTGGAGAGAAGGAGATATTATCTTGCACTCATTGTGACTGCAGGACACAAGCTTATCACTACAGTGACAACAAGAAAGGAGAAACAGGTCAAGATATCAGACCTCCAAGGCTGTGAAATATGTTGAGAGACAAAGTACCAAAATGACCGTGGCACAACAATTTATATCTGCAGAAACAAATATGTCGTGATTTAAACTCCGTGTTCAGTGCTGCTGTGGCCAAGCAGAAACAATGGCATGAGAACTCCATTTCTATGCTTCTAACCTGCCAGTGGAAATATTAGAATATCAAAACAGCTAGAGGCAATAAAACCCAATTAAGGTTCAGCTTTCAGATAATTTTCAGTATTTGTACACTGGATAAGAAATGCTCATTCATCACCTTTTTTCTTCTGATGGATAAGAAGTCCAGAAGTTCCTTTAAGATGCTTAAATTTGTTTCACATGCAAAGGGCATTACATTCCATATTGCTCTTAAAATCTTACCCTCTCTTCTCACAGCCATTTCTATCTCCATTAATAACTACTGCTTACCATTTGGTTTATTTCTCCCAGTGATTATTTTAATTAAAAAAGAAATACATCTGATTAATATTTTGAATGTATCCAAATATTTAGATCTTTCTGGAGTAAAAGGCCCTAAAACTGGCAAAGAACCCCCTATCACTACTATACACAATAAGTCAACAGATTTTTAAATGGCTGTGGAGTCTTTGCAATGAAATGATGCCTGAAAACATATCAGAGCTAAAGAAGAAAAGGTCTAGATAGTTCTCAAATTTTGTAAAACTAAAGAAATAAAAACATGAATATTTGCATCAAAAATATTTATTTCGTAGAATCCAGAAATTTTTGAATGAAAAGTCTTTTCATTAAAATAACCAAATCTTTATCTTGATAACCATATTTAACCAATTTTTAGCTTGATAACCATGGAAGTTCCCAGTCCTTAGTTAACACTCTCTAGCTATCCTTACAATTTCAAATCTTAGATAAGCTCTGATTGTATCATTTGTATCTGAAAGATATGCTATTTACTCAACAAAAACTGTCCAGAGGAACACCCAGAATCATTTGTTAATGTCTCATTTTTTATTTATTTTCTCCACATAAAAAGTACTGTTAAGTTAAAATTATGGCTAAAAGAAATTCCTAAAAATGTTGGGATATTTTAATTTTGGAGATCTAAGTGAAAACAAGAAAAGAGAAAAAAGAGAACAAAAGAGACATTTTCTGTTACAAAAGAGAAAATTAAGGCCAGAACCTCCATTTCTAAGATGGCACAGAAGACCTGCAAGAGCCCAAAACTGCCATTGACCTTTAGTGATGTTCTTGCCTCAGAACTGACTTAACTAACACAATTTATCCCACTGGCATTAAGGTTGCAACAAAAAGAAGACAAGTTGTGTTGGCAGGTGGTGTTCACCCCCCTTTAGAAAGATGCTAATTAGGACTTTTCCAAGAGTATCACTAACATTGTTGTTTTAGTTCCTTATGTCCTGGCCCAGGTGAGAAATCCTGTACCCTTTCCCTCCCTGTTAATCTCACAGGGATCTGAGCAACACACCTGACAAGGCATAAGAATTTTGCTCGTCTTTTGTGCGTGACCTGTGACCTTTTATGTTTGAAAAGTATACCTACTCCCCTTCTATGCTGTCCAAGTTTTCTTGGATAACCAGGTACTTTCTGCATTCTTTCTCTCTTCAAGGTAAAGCTAAAAATACATTTTCTGAACTTAAAGTGTAGCCTTCCAAAATTTGGGCTTAATTGACATTTTATGTCTCAAATAAATGATTGCTGATAATTATTTTGCATCTAGATTACTAGTTTTATTTATTTTTTTTTAATTTTTACTTGCTTATATGAAAACAGAAGAAAAACTTAGAGGACTTTTCAAATTCCATTTTCCTATTTCTGTAATGTTTTAATTCAACAGCTGTTTGTTCAATCATTTCAAATTATATAGAAAAAAGTATATCTTGTTTCCCATTTTAAGAATTCTATATTATCTGTGGTTGAAGAGCAAAAATAGCCTTCTAATGGTAAAGGAACTGCAATAGCTAAAAAATCAAATCCTGCTGTGCTTTCCACAATTAGTTGGGTTTTCTTTTCTTAGAAGAGACAAAGTAAAATAATTTCTTGAAATAACATTGACATAATAGCTATACTCAAATATTAAGCTTATACAGAGAAATATAGAAATTCCTATTATTTTATTTGATATTTAAACATTCTTTCCATTTAGATATTTCTCATTTTTTTTTTAATTGGAAAAGAGTATTCTCCTTTTCTCTTTTAATAGAAAACTTTAATATATAAACAAATGCAATTTTTTTTTCTTTCAACACCAATGTAAACATGGAGCAATTGCAACAATGTCAAGTAAAACAGCTGTTGGGGGAGGCTAAAACATAAAGTGATTAAGCACTTCATAAAACTATAGCTGCCATGATAGATAGTACATTGCATGACATTAGCTCAAAGCAAAACCTAGAAAAAATATTTACATAAGTTATTCAAATAACATCTAGTCTGTGAATAATTGGCTTTGTAGAAACATTTGAATACATAAGACTTTTTTCTATGTCAAATGGTTTTTAGGGAAAAGCAATTCCTCCCTCCCATATTACCCTTTCTTTTGAAAAATCTGAACTGAAATGCAAGAGTAGTACCACAGGGCAATTCTGACAGATTAGCCTTTTTCTAACCCATAGACCACATTCATCTAGTAGACTAAGTCTCCAGTGATGCACCATCCTTTAAAAGAAAAATTGCAATACATAGTAGGAAGCCCCAGGCCAGGGAGATTATCCCATAATTGGAAAATGTATGAGTGAGCGCTTTATCTATCAGTCCAAAGACATATCACCTCTATAATTTCCAGAGATAAATATTTTATTTCAATTGTTGAAAAAGTCAACATTTTCTTGGCATATAGATTTGTTAATTGATTGTATGTTTTTAATTTTAGTATCAAATGGCAGTTGAGAGAGAAATCAAGAAAACAAGAAAGATAACCAATGGTTTCTAAAGATCTTCAGAGATATTCTGGAACAACACTTGCAGATATTATGGACTAAAATGAGCTACAAAAGTTAAAATGTGCTGTCCTTCAGGGGTGCTGACACTTCTTATTCCTATTGGCCTGAGCAGGAATTTTGAGCCTATAGCACCATTGAGCATCACATAAGTTTTATTTAGATAGTTACTTTTTAGGCACTCAAGTCTGAAGAAAAAAAGAAAGGCTTTTAGTGTAAATTTATGAAAACATCTGTGACTTTCAGCACTTTGGGTTCACACTTCAGAAGCATGTCTGTGCTTGGAAAAGTAACGTGGACTCTTGCAAAATCAATCTGAAGTGAAAGTTCCATAATGAACATAGAATTTATAGAAATCATTTATAGAAAGAGGATATAAATAAATGATGTTTGAGACTTTTTTCAAATATTTAGATTTCTTTATATGATACATTTTAGAACGTTCCACAGCATCTAAAATATATAAAAATAAATATCTACAGTATTTACAAAGTATGATACAATACAATCTTTAAAAGACTTGTAAAGACATGTTCTTTAGCTCATACTGAGGTAAGTAGGTTTCTGTAAGACTGAGAAAAAATAGAATAGGCAGTTATTTTGAAGGAATCCCTTTGTCCAGTTATTGTAGTCTGTATCACACGTAAAAGCATGTGCCACTCTCTGTTGTTTGTAGTGTATTGAGCCAAAGTCATCCTTGCTGTAACTCCATCGAGGTAAGTTTCGTTATGCTAGGGATGAATTTATCCCACTCTACATTCTCTGTGTTGAGAGTGTCTTCTGCAGAAACTGTCATGGCTTCATCTATGTTTGAAGTCATGTTCATTCCTGGTATGTGGAGATGCAGTTCCATTGATTTTGATGGGTTGAGCACAGCTGGGATATCTGTAGAAAAAATAAAGATTCTAAGATCATTTTACTGTTTGTATTAGGTAGCTGACTGACTCATCCTCTGATTGTCACTCTCTGGACACAATGCAGGTGATGGTCTATTAACAGAATGGTCTTCCAGAAATTGTTCAAAATTGCATTTGCAAATTTTAAGTGAAAGCTTCTTGACTGAAGACTAAGGGCATTTCTAATACATAAACCTGGATTTTTTTTTTTTTTTTACTTTTAAACATTTTAATGTTCTACTACTACTTATTTAATATGTACTGTTTGATAAGTTGCCCTGTGGTTCCTTATCCAGCTGCCACTGTGACCAGCAGAGCACTACGGCTTCCTGTGTACAAGTCAGTCATGGAATCATTGATAGTTTGGGTTGGAAAAGACCTTTAAAGACCACCTAGTCTAACTCCCCTGCCATGAGCACAGGACAGGCAGAGAAGATAGTTATAATAAATAAGAGACAAAGGATAAAACATAATCTACAGGTACACTTTCATCTGGGTTTCCTGGTTGTAACTTTGCTTGTGCCATACATATAGGCAATACTATTGAATTCAGGGAAAAAATAAACATTCCTTCTGTAGTAAGTGAAAAGTGGCTTCCCAGCTGTTCCCGAACACATGCAATAACCTACCCAACAGAAAAAAGAACATAAAATGTTGGAAAAGAAATCAATGTGAATTTCTTATTTGATCAGCCTAACTCACACCAGAATGCATGCTAAGCAGATAATTTGAAAGTAAAGGACATGCAGGTATTTCAACCTGTACACACAATTTTGGTTAAAATCTTTGTCATGAAATATACCACAACTTCAGATAATTAGCTCAGAATAGAATATAGCTGTTTATAAACAAATTCCAATGACAGGGAAGATGATTTTCATACTTTCAGGTAATTCTTCTTTATTTAATTAGGAGTCTAAAGGAAGTAGGGATCCAAAGGAAATATTTATATAGAATATGATTACTTTATCCCCTCCTCAACTGGACCACAGCTTTTGAAATTAATGTGATGAAATTTTGTTTCATCAATATATAACCGAAGTTGTAGTATATTCTATAAAACATTTCTTATAATTTACTTTTCTTATAGTCAGTCCTTAATTGTAACCCCCTTTTTCTCTCTGTGTGCTCATATCCAAATATTGTTGTATGGACAATTAGATTTTACTTCCACAGGATCAAAAGACATAGGGACAAGTACAGTAAGAGCAGGTAATAGGTGCAGTACCATTTGATGGGATTGTATTTATGTTGGTCAATACAACGTGTTCTGCAAGTTTTGAAACATTATCAAAATTGCTGATCTGGGTGGTCAAGGACTTCCGACTCTCTGTACTGGCATGACCTCTGGTGAACCGTTCGTCATGGTGGCTGCCAAAGATGCAACAGGAAAATGCTGCTTTAAATTCTTCTCTGAATTTCCCTGTCAATCATAAGAAGGACTCATGAAAAAAACTGTACTATAAACCACATTTCATCCAACTTCATAGATTAGAAAAAAAAAGGAGCTATCTAAAGCAAAATTAGCGCAAATCACCCAGACGCTTTTCTCATGGAGAAGTAGGAAATCACAATTTCATCATCTTGAAGAAAGACAGAAGAAAGATAACCTTTCTAAGAAGATATGTGAGGTGTGGTGTGAAGACTGAATTATTCTTGGCTAGACAGAATGGACAAACTAGAATGATTAATGGAGTCATGACATAGGTAGTCTGTTGGTTAATTAAATATATAACAAAAAATTAATTGAGCAATCATAGGCTTAAATGATTGAATCATTACTTGACATGTGAAATGAGAGGGCATGGCTAATTTGTGTTTCACCGTTAATATATTTGAAAAGAAGATTCAAAGTGTTCGACAGCCCATTAGTCTGCTTTTGGGGCTCAGAGGAAATTGTTCAGATCATCCTCTCACTACACACCACAAAAAAACTACAGTGGGCAAATGTGTAGTGAGAATCAACATAGTTTTGCCTCCCTCTATTTAGCTGCAATACAGCTTTAGGTCCTTTGCAGCTTTAGCTGCAGTACAGTTTAGGCCCTGATTTTACTCTCCATAGCCAAATGATACAAATATGAACCAAGACAAAACTGTACTAGTAAGTAAACAGCATCCTGGCTGGTTCTTTGGCCTTGAACCTAGTTGGCACAGTCTGGTCATGCAAGTACTATTAAAGACTCACAGCCTCCAAACCCCAATACCTACACACAACATGCTGGCTGGGGACAGCCCCCGGGTTGTGCTACCTCCCAGACAGTATCCAGGGAGTGTTTAGCGGAGCAGTAATTGTTTCAGATCAAAGTTATGCCAGGAACTTCTCTACCAAATTAATGTCGTGGACAGTCATATTCCAGCACTTGGACTCAGGCCCTGGCACTGTCCAGGTTAGTTATAGGTAGATAGCCTGAAGGTAATGGGATACTTCAGGCAACTTTTTCCAGGAAGAGGTCTAGCTCCCACCGGAGGGCCTGAGCTGATGTTACACAGTCATTAATCTTATTTGCTATGGCTCATTACATTCAAACTATACGTTAAACTTGAATTCTAGGTAACGTAACTTACCACTGAGGAAGTTATAAATAATAGGATTGGCTGCACTGTTTGCATATACAAGCCAGTGTGAGAATGTGAACCAGGCATACACAGTTTCTCTGTCGTCAGCATGATTAAACATCCCCAAAACCCTACAGAAAGAGAAAAGCAAACCTGAAAGATTGCAAAACTAGAAATCATACAGAAATATTTTACAACTTCTAGCCTAATTTTGTCTCTGATGACCTATTCGTGATATCACAGAAAAGCTGATTCAACAGTATTCTATCTCTTGAGAGAATAAACTCCTCTCCCCAACCCTCAGCCTCCTGTCTTGGTGGTTTAGCACAGCAGAGACCATCAGGACTTTACTTTGCTATGGTGCAGATACACAACTTTTCTGCCGAGTAACCAAAGTCATCTGGTGTCAGATAAGCCAAGAAAAGATGGGAAAAGTTGCTTTTGATCTAGTCATGTCACTGAAGTTCCTGGCTCTAGGCCTACTCTCCAATAAATAGGGACTGAAAGGGCATGTAACTGGCCCCAACCCTGAGGCTACAGTAGCAGCTTCTGTCTCCAGAGAAATCAGTATTTTCCAGATTCCTCACACCTCCCTTTTGCCATTTCAGTGAAAATCTAACTCTGGTCCTACTCTGCTGTTGTTTATTGAGGCAGGCTGTGTAGTTCCTCTATTTCAGGTCGTAGGTTCCTGAACAGCGTTCTGGAAATACTTCTTTCTCTTCACATTTCCTACCAAGACTTGAGAGTGAAAAGTACTTAAATTAGGCTACAGGAAAAGGCCAGAATTGAGTGGGATGTATTTAAGCATTGAAAATATTCCTTAAATTCTAAAATGTTCCAATAATATTACAATAAAAAAAGCACAAATAACAGGCTGGTTATTTTTTTAGGATATTCAAGTCTTCTGCTATATGCAGTTATTTATTGGTATTCCAGAGGGCTCACGAGATATAATTTTACCAAAGCCTGCCTATCAGGCACTGTACGAAAAACAAGAGTGTACACCATTATATACCAAATGAACATGAGAAAAAAGGACAAAAAAGGAAAATACAGCTTCATAAGGCTATATTGAATTAGAAATAATATAAAAAAATTTTACAACTTCTAACCTAATTTTATCTCTGATGATCTATTTGCACTATCACAGAAAAACAATTTCAGGCTAACTGAAAGGGCTGGCCTAAGGTCTAAAAATTGTGCATGAGGGCCTTACATTTGAACCCAGAATTTCACAGTTCTTGGAGCCAAGCCACAACGCTACACTCTGCTGCTAACCTTCAGCTGCTGCTTTAGGTAACTGCACTTCCGTGGATGTATTTACAGCAACCAAGCTGTAATCCCATGTAAATAACAAGGTTTAATGAGGAGATAGGCTAGATCATTTTCATGAGGAAGAGCTTGCTAATAAGGGTTCCACAATCCAGCCTTTAGTTTAAGTACTATGGATAGGTTACATATATTTTCTTGCAATTGTGTACTTATTTTCCATTTCTTTATTGAGCAGTAAGTAAGCTTATCCTTTAAAAGTATTTGCCAGAATAAAAGGAATCTCATAATAGAGGATTGTTTTTAGATAGAAAGCTGCACCAAGTGTTTACATTTTGGGATAAACTTTACCTTTTCAAGACATTGAGGATGCTAATTGGTAGATAACAAAGCGCAAAAACCAGGAGGACAACCATTAGCATACGTGCTGTTTTCCTTCTTGCATGAATCTGTTTTATTTCAGCTGCCACAGCACTAATCTTTGACTTTGTTGATTGTCCCAGCCCTCGGGGCTGTGCTGAGGGCTGCAGGGGCTTCCATTTTTTCTGAACAACAGAAGAAGTTCCTGGGATCTAAGAAAGAAAAAAAAAAAAGGGACATTTTGAAAAACATTTGTGAAACTGATATGTAGATATAACAAGAAAAATAGACATGTTCACATACACAAGGTAAGCTCACAGGGATAAATAGGAGTTTTTAATTAAATTAATTGATGTAGCTGCAGGAAACAAACTCAATTTCAGACACACTAGAACTGCATAAAAATTGTGATTTATACAAATATAAACTGATGTACTAAAATTTTCTTTCCTTCCCACATACCTTGCCTTGCTTGTGTCTTCAGACCATCACATTTACCAACCCCATTGCTGCAATTATGTTGCTATAAAGTTCTACATTAAGTGTTTTGTTGCATAGCAGAATAGTTTATCCCATTAATATGCTGCTAGAATATACTAAACAGCTGTTCAGCATTGGTAAACAAGGATTTAAAGCCTGCACACCTATAAGTGCCATAAAACTTCCACACATACAACCTGGATGACAATGAAGTAGCCAAAGAAATTACAGCTGAAGTGTGGATCTCCCTGCAAACTTCTTCAAAACTGAATATACAGTATATATGCATATACAGTAATGAACAGAGGGAAATCACAGAAAAATGCCAAGACATAGGAAGAATTAAGTTAGTCAAAGCCATTTTGAAATGGGTAGATGTAGCACCATACTATTAAAAAAAAAATCTTGGCTTTTGTTTTCTGTACCCCCACATAAGACAAGCCAAATAAAACAATATTACTTCAGTTCTTCAAAATTACTTCCTGCCTGCAGCCAACTGAAAAAGACTAGAGATAGCAAGGACTTTCTCAGAGAATTCTATTACCATTACATTTATAATGTGTTCAATGCTATACAGTGTGAAAACCTTTTGGCTAGAAATAATAATAATAGTTATATAATATAATATATAATAATATAAGTAGATAATAGTTTTATTTATGCATACTGCAATTTTGTGTGGGGTGACTAGTGACATTATATGTTTAATAATGTTTCATGTTTAAAAGTATCTGCAAAATTCACACTGTAATATTTTTTAAAAAATGGGCTTATTCACACAAACTGACCAGAAAAGAATGAAATTTTTGATATTTATTTCAGGAAAAAAAAGTAAACTAAAAAGTATGCACATTTGAAGTTGTAGAAAGCTATTATGTTGGGGTTTTGGTGGTTTTGGTTTGGGGGTATTTTTGGTTGGTTGTAGTTTTTTTTGTTGATTTTTTGGGGGTTTTTTGTGTGTGAATATCTTCCTTGCACAGACAAGCCCTTAATTTAGCATTTATGTGCACCATCAAACCTGATTTACAGCTATTGGAACTTTTTGGTAAAATTAGCTTTTAATTAGCAAGAAATCAATGCAGCAGATTGGGAGATAGGTTATAATTTATTTTTTTTTTTTTAACTGAGGTATCTATGGACTTAAAGACTCCAACAGAGCCCCTTGTACTTCTGCTGTGGGTTCCACTCATTCAGCTGAAATCAGCAGTTATCAGCTTCACAACTGCATGTCTGTCCTAATGCAAGGGATTTACCCTACTTAGCTGTGGGGTGTAGTACTGCAGTGTGTCTTTGCCATGCTCTGCTGAGATAAAACGCTGTCTAAGATTCTGATTCTGACTTTTCAGGGATACTTTGATATCCCGTTCTTCTAACTTTGAATCAGAAGCTTTTTTTGTCCCTTTTCAATCATACTGAGTAACCATATTCTATCAAGAACTGGACGTGAAAGCAAAGAAATGCAGCCAAATCTCTCCCTTCTGATTATGTCAAAGATTCACTTGAAGAAATCAGTGATCAGCTTTCATTGTAGATACATACAATTTAGAAGAAGATAAACATTATCTTGGCTCCAAATTGTGTCTATTTCTACAGAAAAGTTAGACATGACCCTGTACTTGGTTTGTACCTGTATGAGCAGGTAGAAGGGTCTTTTCTGTTATTTAAGCAGTCTTTATTAGCAAGAGATGATCAAAGTTAAGACTGTATACAATGTGCAGTCTCCCTGTACTATATATTAAATTGCTAACTTTTCAGGAGTTTGTATTGAGAACCTTTCTGAAAGAACCCATGCTTCCTCAGTCTTTACCTGGCATACACCTTGGCTTTGCTGCTGTTACACTAATAGACAATAATACAGCAAGAATATTATCAGGACAAAACCCCACCCCCAAAAAACTATATACCCACAGATGCATAGCAGTACCATTTAAGGAGCATTACACTTCAGAAGTGTGTGTGCATGTGTGTATATGGAAAGATTTACAAATATGTATTTATGTAAACATAACATGCATGTATTACAAGATAGAATGAGAAGAAATTGACTTGAGTTGTGTCAGGGGAGGCTTAGATTGGATATTATCCAATTTGTGAAAAATGTCTTCACGGAAAGGGTTGTCAAGCGTTGGAACAGGCTGCCCAGGGAAGGGGTGAAGTCACCATCTCTGGAGGTATTTAAAAGACATGTAGATGTGGCACTTAGGGATGTGGTTTAGTGATAGACTTGGCAGTTTAGGTTTATGGTTGGACTCAATGATCTTGAGGGTATTTTCCAAGGTAAATATTTCTATGATTAGGTATGTACAAGTATACACATGGGAGCATAATGTATATATTTCCCTTTTTTTTGTAATGAATCAGTTATAGAGATAATTGTGGAGAATTTGTGTAATTTTAATGTTTTACTAAAAGCCTATTAGCTGTGTCCAAACAGGTACTAAATGACAGCTATTTTCTTGTGCACTTTTTCTCTATCTCCTCAAATAATTATCAAGGGGTTTATAATGAAAGGAAATCTCTCAAATATAATATCAACTTGCAAAGATTGGAAGGGTGTATTTCAACTACAAAAATGGAAATGAGTAGAGTTCCTAGTCATTAATACAAGTAGGCTTCAGTGTCAATGCATTTGGACATCAGTAAATTGAAGCAGACTTGGAACTTAAAGCAAATTGTGTATCAACACTGTCATTGTAAGTCCATTCAGTTTTATTTATTTGTTCCAAAGTTACTTTTAACCTACTTAAAATCCACAAGAGAATATAGCCTTCTAAGTCACTACTTCCTTGCTAACAATTAAAATAAATTAGTCAAAATCCCCAGTAGTTGTTGCATAATTGTTCTTGTCTTTGCAAAGGTGAATCATTAATTCAATGATTGTAAGCTTATGTTCAAAGATCTGCTTGAAATACACAATCAGAAATTTTAAGAGCTATTACGTAAAGTATTGGTAACAATAATTAGTAAATATCTTAACTTTTTTCATGTGAAAATTTTCACGCATGACACACTACATTTTAAAAAAGAATCTTTAGAAAAAGTTTAAGACATAGAAAACAGCTACCGTTTGTTGTGGTTTTTCTATCACGTACATCTGTAAGGCTTATAGTACCTTGCAATAGGATCATTACATTTAACTGAAGTTCTGGTAAACAGCATGATTTCTTAATTGAAACTATTATCAAAGAATACGTTTAGAACACTACATTCATTTGTACTACATGACTGATTACAGCACACCTGCTGCACTTAGAAAAATGCCTGATGCCTGCAGCCAAGTCACAGTTAATAATAGATGTGCCGTGGCTTTAATTTCACTTAGTGCAGCCCCTTATACATAGTGCTATCGTCTATGCCAGGCAAAGAGACATATGTAATTTGGCACCATTGATAGCACTAAGTCTATAGCAGTATTTATCTTTTTGCCACTGAAAAATAAAGGATCATCCTAGCCTTGACAGCATGCAAGATGCACAGGGAGAAGAAACATTGTGAAGAAGAAATAGACCAGCTAACACAACTGGGGGGGAATGGGGCAACCCAACAAAAGAGATTGGTTTTCAGTCATTCAACTTCTGCTCTGAATCTGAACCAGCATTTTCAAGCTACATGCAGGTTAAGAACAAGTGCTTTGCATTAGTTTACTTAGTTAAAAGCTTGAGAGAGGAGATAGATTGTAAAGAAAGTATAGAAGAGAAGGTTAAGAAGCAATACGGTGATAAAGTCATTGAGTGATAGAGGACAGATTCAGCAAGGCAGAGCATATTAGAGCTATGTCAAACTGAACTTAATTGCAAAACCACACAGGGAAATCCTTTGTTCTGGTGAAAGGTCCCCTCAAATTGTAAAGGTTAAATTTTACCTTCAAGCTATCTTATTATTTAATCTCATTAATGTAAGAAATTAAAAACAAAAATAATAATTTAAAGAGCACAATAAACAGCAATTATAGTTTAACCTAATCTGATTAGAAGTGAGAATAATTGCTCTTATGATGTATAGATGATAGGAAAATGCCTTGAAGTGGATTTGGTATTCCCTGTTCTTTATTTATTTGCAAGACATATATTCTGTCAGTATAACATTTGATTTTTACTTTTATTGTATGTTTATTTAGAAATCTAAAGTCTACTTGTGATTTCTCTGATGGATCAATTTCAACTGCATGAAAAATGTTACTTATGTGGTAGATATTATGGCCTGCCCAGGACAGCCTTAGATTTGGATGGTATCAGACATACTGGTGAGAGAGAAAAGATTCTCAAGCACAAGTCCTATAAGAAGCTGAGGGAGCTGAGGTTGTTTTGGCTGTTTTGGCTTTTTGATTAGTATTCCCGTTTTCTTTCCTGTATTTTTAATTTGAAGTTTTAAAAAACCAGATCATAGAATCATAGAATCAGCTGGGTTGGAATGGACCTCCAAGAACATCAAGTCCAGCCCTTGATCCACTACTGGCGAGGTTGCTAGACCATGGCACTAAGTCTTATCCAGTCTTATCTTAAAAACCTCCAGGGATGGAGAATCCACTACTTCCCTAGGCAGCCCAATGCCTGATTACCCTTTCTGTAAAGAATTTCTTCCTCATATCTAACCTAAACCTCCCCTGGCACAGCTTAAGACCATGCCCTCTTGTCTTACTGATAGTTGCCTGGGAGAAGAGACCAACCCCCACCTGGCAACAACCTCCTTTCAGGGAGTTGTAGAGAGTGATGAGGTCTCCCCTGAGCCTCCTCTTCTCCA